GTATTGTACTGCATGCAGGGAACAACAGGTTAGTTATTCAGCCTTGTGTTGTCTTTCAGAGAACACCAGGGCTCATGGTTTCATGATGTTGTGAAGCTGTTTGTGTATTCTGGCAGTCGAGGAGGAAATCGGTTGGGTGGAATTTTATGAGCGGATACACTTTTCTGGAGATTGACGCATGGTAGGAAGAGAGCAGAGTGTCATTAATTATCTTTGGTAGGAGTTGTGGTGGAGTATAAGGCTGGGCCAGATGACAAGTCTGGACGCATCAGTGCTTCATTTGTTCGAGAGAGGTTGTTCTAGATGCCTAGCTCTTGCAAAGTGAAGAAATTTGATGATTCGAACAAATTGGTATTCGCTCTACTGACTGCTTGGATGCCATTTCATATGAGAGTGTTTGTGCCGAAGTAATTGATTCCCAGGCACGCCGGAGTAACAGGTGGCGGAGAGAGAGTTGCCCATGCGGACTACAAGTGACAGAATCATGCAGAATGGGACTTGGTCTGTTTGGTGACGAGTCGTGTTCGAGCTGAGTCAACGAGTGGAACCGCGATGGGTGGTTTACTGTAGGTGCGGGTGGTTATTGTGCAGAGGGGCTCAAACGGCTAAGTTGTAGAAGTGGTTATCATTGAGCAGGGGGAAAAGGTGCTTCATAACCATAGGATTGGGGTGGTCAGTGTGTACGCTTTGGAGTAGTACGATGTTTACAAGGCGATGGTGGGAGAGCAGCAGAGCACTGGAGTTGCGACGTGTACGTGGTTGTTGGTGTTGGTTTGTGTATGTGATGAGGGGTGGTGGTAGTGGTGATGTGTGTGGAGGGGGGGGTGCATGAGTGTGAAAAATTGGAGAGGGGGAGAGTGAGGGGGACAAGGAGGGCGTGGGGATCTGTGGATAGGGATGTCCAGTGTCATTTGCCATGTATCAAAAGTGAATGAAAGCAAGGCCCAACGTGCGGGGCATTGCCACTGGACTGCTCATGGAGGCTTCTTTGTATGATATGTGGGGACGTGCAACGTTCGGAGGAAGAGGAGGCATGCATTTGTCCATGTGGGCCAGTGTGTATGCTTTGCAGTGCAATGCGATAGCCGGCGATGCTGGGAAAACAACGAAGTTGTGAGGTGACTGTGCTTGTTGGTTCATTTGTGTATTTGAGGAGGGGTGATGGTGGTGGGGTGGTGATGACACCTGTGTGGGGGATGGGATGGGTTAGTGAGTTTGGTTAACTGGAGATGGAGAAGTGAGGCATCAGGTGGTGTGTAGGCCCTATGGATGTGATATGTCAAACGCCATGTCCCAGAACTGAATGGAAGCATGGCACAAAGCGTGGCCTCTCTACTGGACTGCTCGTGGAGGCGCTGTAAGATATGTGGCGAACTGCAATGTTCTTGAACCCATGATCTTTGAGTACGAGGAAGCATGCGTTTGGACATGTCGGGGGGTGACCTCATAACTCTCTGGGATAAATACCCAGGCAGATCATGTTTGGGGTTGGAGAGTTAAGGTTATGAGTAGAGGTGAGGAGATAGGAGTTGAGTACATGGAAGTGGGTAATGAAGCACAGAGGACGGCAAATCGTAGTCTTTCGAGAAGAGGAAGCATGTGTTTGGACATGTGTGGGCGACCTCATTATGCTCTAGGATAGATGCTCAGGCAGAGCATGCGTGGGTGTGAAGTGCAAAGTTTATGAATGGAGGCGAGGTGGTAGGAGTTACATCGATGTGGGCAATGCAGCACGAGGAGAATGGCATGGCAGGGGTGCTAGAGAGCAGGGAGGGCATGGAAGGAGGCGGTCGGTTGTTTGAGGCAAATCTTCAAGAATGCGGATTGCTGAACAATTTGTTCAAAAATGCTGAAGCGTTTTGCCCTTTGTTGCAATTTGTGGTTTGATTGTCCTGTGCACCGCGGCTTCCACGATGCTAGAGCCCCACGCCAGAAAACTCACTGCTGACCTGTGTTTTTCCATGTCACCACATCCTGTCTTATTTTTGTTCCTCTCTTTGCTGTTCTCAGGACTGGGCGTTCCAAGTCAAGGAGTGAGGTCAGACCAGGTAAGGAAGCAGCCAGATGGAGATTGATCGCATTGTCATCCCCCTGTTTTTTTGTTCTTCGAACGCCCACCCTTCTCCTTCCTTTTCTGGGACCATCAAATAATTGCAGAGCGTCAGACACAGGAATTCATGTTGTCCATACAGTCAGTTGCCATGGCCCACCATTAACTGGGGTTTGCTTTTTGTGGGTCCTGCTTGGCGAAAATTCAGTCCTGGTTCTTCCCTACACTATTAAAATCGCTAACGTGACAAATCTGAAATCTGGGCTGTCGCCGGTCCTACTGGCCCACGGCCCAGATCGACCGAACCATGTAACAAATCTGCCATCTGGACCGTTGGGTCCCACCAGACCGACGGCCTGGATAGATGTGGTCTTAAGATCTCAGGACCGCGCCGGGATCCAGGCCGTCGGTCCGGACCGACGGCTCAGATAAACGCGCCGAGTGCCGTGGGGTACTACCGGAGATCGTGATGTCGGGCCAACCCAACTTTCCCGTTGGACTGGCTGTTGTCGTGCAGCGCCCTCGGTCCATTGTATTTGGTGTTGTCGTGCTTCTGCTTTTGTCGTGAAGAGCGCCGTGCGCCCGGTTGTGAAGCACCCTGCCGTGAAGCCCTCTCTCTCTCTCTCTCTCTCTCCTGTGGTTGGCCGTTTGTGCTGTAAGCTCTGGCTCTCTCTCGCTCGCTCGCCTGTGGTTGGCCGTTCGGAGTTCTGCATCAACGACGCATGAACGCCGGTCGAAGATGGCAGACACAGGTCAGTACACGTCTCCCTGCTTCCTCCGCCCTCTCCCCCTGACTTCCGCCGCCCCTCCGCTCTCCACCGCTCCTACTCTTCGTGTCCTGCGATCTCTGCCACTCTTCGCTCCTCTGCCGCCCGTGCCCCCTTCTGCTTTCCTTCAGAGAGAGAGAAAGAGAAAGAGGCCCGAACCTAACTATTACCCCGCCCCCCAAAACGACAACGATGATCAAGTGTAGTATCTGTTCCGATCACAGAGAGAGAGAGAGAGAGAGAGAGAGAGAGAGAGACCCTAAACTAACTAACAAACCCGCCCCCAAAAACGACGATGACGATGATGATCAAGTGAGGTATCTGTTCCGATCAGTTTGAAAAACGGCGTGCGCACGTGCGCGCCCACCAGGTAGAGAGAGAGAGAGAGAGAGAGAGACCCCAAACTTACTAACTACCCCGCCCCCCAAAACAATGACGACGATGACGATCAAGTGTGCCCCCCCAGAAAAAATGATGACGATGATGACGATCAAGTGTCGTATCTGTTCCGATCACTTTGATATCTGACCGAGGACCATTGGGAGATTTTTTATATAAAAAAAAAAAAACGGAAAAACAGCGAACGACACACACACACACACACACACACACACAGAGAGAGTGTTACATCCTGCGCCTGCAACAAGCTGTACGGGCCATTTTCAGGCCCGTGTCAGTTTCAGCCTGAATGCCTGAAAACAAGGGCCTACAGACCCCGTGTCAGTTTCAGCCTGAAAGCCTGGAAACGAGGGCCTACCGGCCCTGTGTCAGTTTCAGCCTGAAAGCCTGAAAACAAGGACCTACAGGCCTCGTGTCAAATTCAGGCTGAAAGCCTGAAAACCAGGACCTACAGGCCCCGTGTCTGTTCCAGCCTGACAGCCTGAAAACCAGGGCCTACAGGCCCCGTGTCTGTTTCAGCCTGACAGCCTGAAAACCAGGGCCTACAGGCACCGTATCGTTTCAGCCTGACAGCCTGTAAACAAGGGCCTATAGGCCCTCAGGCTTTAGCCAGAAGCTACCTGGAAACTTCCCGGAAGCTTCCTCAGGCTTTAGGCAGAAGCTACCTGGAAACTTCCCGGAATCTTCCTCAGGCTTTAGCCAGAAGCTACCTGGGAACTTCCCGGAAGCTTCCTCAGGATCTAGCACGTTTGGGCATTGGCAAGAGCAGCCTCCTGGACGGGCCAGCACTATATAAGACTTGCCCGACCTACACGCAGGTAGGTAGTTGGGAGGTAGTACATAGGGACTTCCCATGCACTTCACGGGCAGGCAGGAGGCAGTAGCCTTCAGGATTCGGCAGCAGCACTCTGGAGGGAGCGCTGCAGGAGTAGTAGTAGCGTTAGCATTAATCTTCAGCGCTGGGCGCCAGTAGGTAGCTGTAGTCTTCAGCGCTGGGCACCATAGCTAGGATAGCCCTGGAGAGAGAGAGATTGGGCGGAGGCCAGAGGTACCTACCTGCAGCACCGTTGCTCCAGCCTCGTCTTCGAGGTACCTGCAGCACAGCGCCAACTTCACAGGTTAGTACCTGGCTCGTGACAGAGAGAGAGAGAGTTCTTCTTCTTCCTGTTCTCAGTCCACCATCTCCCTCTCATCCTCTCATTATCTGACTTCACTGCATCAGCAGACTACGAGAGAAGAGAGAGCTTGGTGACATTGGATCCAGACTCGACTTTTGGGCTTCAGACATTTCGATGAGGGATTATTTGGGACTTGTGACAAAGACTTGCTGTTGACGACATTCCCATCTCTGCCCCTCCTCTTCGTCTGATCCCCTCGTCTTCGACTGTGTATGTCTGGACCTGGCGCTTTCTTCCTGTGTATAGCGCCAGGCTCCTTCACACCTTGTGAGGAGTAATATGTATGTTTGGTCTGTGTTAAACATTGATTGGGCTAGTCATTAGCATTCTAGCATTCTGCTTCGCTATCTTGTACTACGTGAATGAGGTCAGTCCCGGTCAGGTCAGGATTTGTATCTAAGTCTTCCCTGCGCTATTCAGCACCATTTTGTATGTATCAGAATGCACATTGCTTGTTGAGATCCTACTTGCAGTGCATTGTCCATTCAGTCCTTTTTATCACATTGTGGATCCTCGGTTATTATGTACATCGCCCATCTGGGCATGTAACAGAGAGAGAGAGAGAGAGACCCCAAATTATCTACACGCCCCCCCCCCCCAAACCGACGACGACGATGACGAGCAAGTGTAGCATCTGTTGCGATCAGTTTGCTATCTGACCCGCGGACCGTCGGGAGTTCTTTATAATAAAAAAAAAAAGAAAAACGGCACACGCACCAGAAAGAGAGAGAGAGAGAGAGAGACACCCCAAACTAACTAACTTCACCGCCCCCGAAAACGATGACAACGACGATGATCAAGTGTAGTATATGTTCTGATCAGTTTGATATCTGAACCGTGGACCATGGGGAGTGCGCGCGCGCAGCAGAGCGACACAGAGACAGAGAGAGAGAGAGAGAGAGACCCCAAACTAACTAGCCCGCCCCCCAAAACGACGACGACGATGACGACCAAGTGTAGTATCTGTTCCATTCAGTGTGATATCTGACCGGTGGACCATTGGGAGTTCTTTAAAAAAAAAAAAACACGGGAAAACGACGTGCGCACCAGAGACAGACAAACACAGAGAGAGAGAGAGAGAGAGAGAGAGAGAGAGAGAGAGACCCCAACCTAACTAACTACCCTGCCCCCCAAAACAACGACGACGACGATCACGATGATCAATTTTAGTATCTGTTCCGATTAGTTTGATATCTGACCCATGGACCATCGGGAGTTCTTTCAAAAAAAGAAAAATACAGAAAAACGGCGCACGGAAGTGCGCGCGCACCACACACGCACAGAGAGAGAGAGAGAGAGAGAGAGAGAGAGAGAGAGAGAGAGAGAGAGAGAGAGAGACCCGCACACGCACACAGAGAGAGAGAGAGAGAGAGAGAGAGAGAGAGAGAGAGAGAGAGAGAGAGAGACCCCAAACTAACTTAACTACCCCGCCCCCGAAGACGATGCTGACGATCAAGTGCAGGATCTGTTGGACCATTTGGAGTTCTTTTATAAAAAAAAACACGGGAAAACGACGTGGGCACCACACACACAGAGAGAGAGAGAGAGAGAGAGAGAGAGAGAGAGAGAGAGAGACCCCAA